AATACAGAGAGATCCCATGTACCCTTTATCCAGTTTCCCACAATGGTATCATCCTGCAAAACTGTAATACAGTATCACAACAAGGAACATTTCCATCACTACAAGAAGTTCTCATATTGCCCTTTTGGGATTGTCTTTTCTTACTCAGCATAATTCTGTTCAGATTCCTCCAGGTTGTTGCATGTATCAACAGTTCATTCTTTTTTTGTGTGTGCGGTACGCGGGCCTCTCACCGCTGTGGCCTCTCCCGTTGCGGAGCACAGGCTCCAGACGTGCAGGCTCAGCGGCCACGTCTCACGGGCCCAGCTGCTCTGCGGCACGTGGGATCTTCCCGGACCGGGGCACGAACCCGCGTCCCCTGCATCAGCAGGCAGACTCCCAACCTCTGCACCACCAGGGAAGCCCAGTTCATTCTTTTTTATTGCTGAGCGGTACTCCATGGTATGGATGTTTCATAGTTTCTTTAATTTTTTTTTATTTTATTTTTTTATTTTTTTTTATTATTTTTTTTTTGCGGTATGTGGGCCTCTCACTGTTGTGGCCTCTCCCGTTGCGGAGCACAGGCTCCGGACGCACAGGTTCAGCGGCCATGGCTCACGGGCCCAGCCACTCCGCAGCATGTGGGATCTTCCCGGACCGGGACATGAACCCGCGTCCCCTGCATCGGCAGGCGGACTCTCAACCACTGCGCCACCAGGGAAGCCCCATAGTTTCTTTAATCATTCACCTATTGAAGGTCATCTGGGTTGTTTCCAGTTTTTGTCTATTATGAATAAAGCTTCTATAAACATTCACATACAGGTTGTTGTGTGAGTATAAGTTTTCATTCCACTGTGATAAATCCCCAGAGGTTACAACTGCTGGATACTATGGTAGTTGCCTAGATATAAAAAAAAATCTACTGACCTGTTTTCTGGAGTGGCTGTACCATACATTCCACCAGCAATGTATAAGTGATCAAGCTGCTCTGTATCATCACCAGCATTTGGTGTTGTCACCTCTTAATTTTAGCCATTCAGATAGGTGTGTAGTCATTTCTCATTGTGGTTTTTATTTTCATTTTATTAATGGTTAATGATGTAGAACATAGTGCTCATGTGCTTCATGTGATCTGCATGTCCTCTTTATGTCTATTCATGTCTTTTGTGCATATTCTAATGGGATTTTTTTTTTTTTGCTCTTGAGTTTTAAGAGTTCTTCATACTAGTCCTTTGATTGATGTGACTTGCAAATACTTTCTCCTAGATTGTAGCTTATTATTACATCATTTTTTAATTTTTTTTTTTTTTTTTTTTGCGGTACGCGGGCCTCTCACTGTTGTGGCCTCTCCCGTTGTGGAGCGCAGGCTCTGGACGCACAGGCTCAGCGGCCATGGCTCACGGGCCCAGCCGCTCCACAGCATGTGGGATCCTCCCGGACCGGGTCACGAACCCGCGTCCCCTGCATCGGCAGGCGGACTCCCAACCACTGTGCCACCAGGGAAGCCCTATTACATCATTTTTATGTGGGTTTTTGTGGAACAAAAGTTTTTAATGCTGATGAGATCCAATTCATTTTTTTTCTTTTATGCTTTTGGTGTAAAATCTAAGAACTTCAGCGATTTGTTGAATGAGAGCAGAAAAAGCAGACATCTTTGCTTTGTTTACAGTCTTAGAGAGAAAGCATTTATTGTTTCACATTAAATATAATGTTAGCTGTGGGGTTTTATAGATGATCTTTATTATGTCAAGGTAGTTCCCCTCTATTCCTGGTTTTCTGAGAGTTTTATTATGAATGAGTGTGGAATTTTGTCAGATGCTATTCTGCATCAGTTGATACAATCATGTCATTTTCTTCTTTAACCTACTAATACGGTAGATTATCTTGATTGCTTTTTGGGTATTTACAAGCTTTGTGTTCCAGAATAAATCCACTTGGTCATTGTATGTAATTCTTTTTATGCATTGCTAGGTTCTATTTGCTAATATTTTGTTAAGAATTTTTGTATCTCTATTACAACAGCCAGGACATGGAAGCAACCTAAGCATCCATTGACAGATAAATGGATAAAGAAGATGTGGCACATATATACAATGGAATATTACTCAGCCATAAAAAAAATGAAATTGAGTTATTTGTAGTGAGGTGAATGGACCTAGAGAATGTCATACAGAGTGAAGTAAGTCAGAAAGAGAAAAACAAATACTGTATGCTAATACATATTTATAGAATCTTAAAAAAAAAAGCAAAACACATACTCATTCTGAAGAACCTAGGGGCAAGACAGGAGTAAAGACACAGACATAGAGAATGGACTTGAGGACACGGGGAGAGAGAAGGGTAACCTGGGATGAAGTGAGAGAGTGGCATGGACATATATACACTACCAAATGTAAAATAGATAGCTAGTGGGAAGCAGCCGCATAGCATAGGGAGATTAGCTTGGTGCTTTGTGACCACCTAGAGGGGTGGGATAGGGAGGGTGGGAGGGAGACGCAAGAGGGAGGGGCTATCGGGATATGTGTATATGTATAGCTGATTCACTTTGTTATACAGCAGAAACTAACACACCATTGTAAAGCAATTATACTCCAATAAAGATGTTAAAAAAAAAAAAGAAAAAAAAAGAATTTTTGCATCTCTATTCATGAAAGATAGGTTTATTTTCCTGTACTCTGTTTGTCTGGTTGTGGTGTAAAAGTATAAGGGTATTGCTAGCTTCATAAAACAAATTGGGAAGTGTACCAATTTTTTCTATTTTCTGGAAGATATTTTGTAAGATTTATGTTAATTCTTGCTTAAATATTTTGTAAAATCCTCAAGCAAAATCATATGGACCTGGAAATTTATTTGGGGGGAGTATTTAAGTTATGAATTCAATTTCCTTAACTGTCATAGTCTGTTCCAATGATATATTTTATATTGGTTGACATACAGTAATTTATGTTTTTGCAAAGGATTTGTCCATTTAATCTGAGTTGTCACATTTATGTGTATGTAGTTATTTGTAATATTCCCTTGCTATCTTTTTGATGTCTGCAGGGTCTGTAGGGATAGCCTCTCCTTTCATTCTTTATATTGGCAATATGTGTCTTCTTTTTATCTTTGTCAGTATTTCTACAGGTTTGTAAGTTTTATCGATCTTTTCAAAGAACCAGTTTTGTTTCAATGATTTTCTCCATGTTTTTCTGTTTTTAATTGCATTGATTTCTGCTCTTACCTTTATTATATCCTTCCTTCTGCTTGCTTTGGGTTATTTTTCTCTTTTATTCTAGTTCCTTTAGTGGGATCTTAGATTGACTTAGAAATTGTACTTTTTTTTTTTTTTCAGATAGGCTCTATGATACAAAACATTTTAAAATTACATCATTTAAAAATATTTTAATTTAAAATCTTTTCATCTGTATTAGGGTAAAATTGTATATATTTAAGACACACAACTTGATGTTTTGATGCACATATACATCGTGAAATAATCACCACAATCAAGGTAATTCACATAGTTACCTTTTATTTTCTGATGAGACCACTTAAGTTCTAACTTCTTAACAAATTTCGAATATATAGTACAATATTGTTAACTAGAGTCACAATGCTGTACATTAGGTTTTCAGAACTCACTGTTTTGCATGACTGAAGCTCTGTATCCTGTAATCAACATATCCCCATTTCTGCCTCTCCCCAGCTCCTGGAAACCACCATTCTACTCTCTCCTTTTATGAATCTGACTATTTTAGAGTCCATATATAAGTGAGATGCAATGTTCTGGCTTATTTCACTTAGCATAGTGTCCTTCAGGTTCATCTATGTTGTTGCAAGCAGCACAATTTCCTTCTTTTTAAAGGCTGAATTTTATACATACATAAAACATATATATAATGAACTTTGTGATGATTTTTTTTCTTTTGTTCTGTTAATGTGATGTATCACCTTGATTGATTTGCATACATTGAACTATCCTTGCATCCCAGGGATAAATCCTACTTGATCACGGTATATGATTCTTGTAATGTGCTGTTGAATTCTGTTTGCCAGTATTTTATGGAGGATTTTTGCATCTGTGTTCATCAGGGATATTGCTCTTAAATTTTCTTTTATTGTGGTGTCTTTGCCTGACTTTGGTATTAGAGTGATGCTGGCCTCATATGATGAGTTGGGAAGTATTCCCTCTTCTTCTATTTTTTGGAAATTTAAGAAGGTTTGGTATGAATTCCTCTTTGAATATTTGATAGAATTCTCCTGTGAAGCCATCCGGTCCTGGGCTTTTCTTTTTTGAGAAGTATTTGATCACTCATTTAATTTCCCTATTTGTTATTGGTCTGTTCAGATTTTCTAAAATTTAACTCTTTTCTAATGCATGCATTCGGTGACATATATTTCTCTCTCAGTATTGTTTTAGCTATGTGACAAATTTTGATACATACTGTACTATATGTATTTTTAAAAATTTCCCTTGAGACTTACTTTTTGATCCATGGATTATTTAGAAGTATATTGTTTAGTTCCCAAGTGTTTGGAGATTTCCTGTTATTGATTTCAGTTTGATTCTTTTATGGTCAGAGAACATATTTTGCAGGTTTTAATTTTTTAAAAATTTGTTGAGATTTATTTTATGGTCCAACATGTAGTTTGTCTTGGTATATATTTTGTGGGGGCTTGAAAAATGTGTATTTTACTATTGTTGGGTGCACTATTCCATAAATGTGAGTTACTTGAACATTTTTTAGAATTCCATTTTAATTTATCTATTATATTCTAGCTTTTCTAGTTTTTCTTGGGAGGAAGATTTATCTGCTACAAGCTAGTTTGTCGTAGCTGGAAGTGGAAGTAACCCATAAGCATGTATGTGAGTGTGTATGTGAATGTAACAGCATAGGTGGTACATATATTCATGAGGTTGTGATTGATTTGACCAACAAATCCTGTAACTCTTACTTCCCCCAACAACTGGTCAGAGTAGAGAAGTTCTTACCTAAAATCACAGCTGTTATTAGTTGTGACTTGTTTTGTCTCTTCTCCAGGACTTCGTGTCATGTATCGAGAACTACAGACGAAAAGGACAGGAACTATATGCATCTCTATACAAAGATCATGTACAGGTAAGAAACAAGGCAATTCCCTTCTCTGCACAGTAGACCAGAACCTACCTTGAACCTGAAATAAAGAATCATAAGAGCATTTGGTTTAAATTCTAAATTGGCTAAGCCAATAATTGGTCATCAGTGAGTCAGTCCTACCTTCATGACCTGTGCCATGGGATTTGGACCCACACTGTCAGCAGCTGAGGAGATAGGCAGTGTTTCCATCCACTTATCTACTCATTCATCCATTGGGTGCCTCAGATCCTGTGCTAGGAGCTAGGGGCACGATTGTAAACACAGCAGACGTGGGCCTCACTCTCGGGTAGCTTACTCTAAAGGAGAGATATACATTAAATAAGTGCACAGATAAATAGATCATTATAACTTGGAAAGAGCAATAGACAGGGAAAATACAAGTATAATGGGAGATTATAACAAGGGGAAGACTTTAATTTGGGCAGATCAGAGGCCCTCTCCAAGGAATTGATCTTTAAGTTGAAATCTGAAGAAGGAGGAATATGGGCTAAAGTATTTTAAGGAAGTGGTTTTGACTAAGGGGAGGGAATGTGTGAAGCTCCTGAGTCGGGAAAGCACTGGATGTCATCCGTTAACTGGAAGAAGAGGAAGTGACTGGGATGATCTGAGCTGGGAAGGGACAGGGGTGAATGAAGATGAGGCAGGGCCGGAGCAAGCAGAGGGGCTTGCTGCCACCTTAGGGGTTTGGCTTGTTCTCCTAAGGACAGTGGGTTGCCACTGATGAGGGTAGGTTTAGATGTTGAAAACCTCTCTCTAGGAGTGATTTCTGTACAGTCTAGGTAAAGAGCACTGGCTGTCATGCCAGGGACATCTCTATTTGAATCTCAGGTCTGCCCCTTCCTAGGACTGAGCCTAGTCTGAGCCTCAGGGTCCCCATCTTTAAGACAGGATAATACTGCCTACCTGTAAAGATTAAAGAGTGAGTATGGAACACCTAGACAGTGGCTGGCAGGGAATAGATGTCCTATATGTGGTTAATGAATGGCTAAGAAGTTCATTTTTAGGTGGTATTATTGATGTTAACAAAAATTTTCTAAAATGATTGCTAGTAATAGAACACAACAGTAGAATTAAAACTTCACAAATTATATTTTTACTTTACAATTTCTCTGTGCCAAAGCCTTGCTAGGTGTAGGAAAGGCAGAGATGATAATGATACTCCTCTGGTTGAAGGTTCTTAACACTCAGTAGAGGGACCAAGAGTAAAGAAATTAAAGCAGGGTGATAAGGCCAATACTAGGATGTTGTACTACAAAGAGAGGAGCAGTGGGGTATAAGGAACCATTGGGTGTGCCTGGGGTAAGGCGAGGGGTGAAGGAATGGTGAAACAGTAGTCCCCAAGTTCAAGGGAAACAAAATAGGCTCTGATCAACTTAAGCCAAGTAACCTGATCCAGTTATCTCCATACGTGCTTGTTTGGGAGCCCACAACATGCCCCCACGAATAGGGATGTGTGAGATGCACAGCGTGCACCCCAGAAACATACAGACTAGCAACACAGCCTCCCAGGCTGTGCTACATAAGGAGGTGGGCAGTTTATCAGACATGCCGGCGGGGAGAGGCGGTTTGGGGATAGGTGTCCTGCTGGCTTATATTTGCGTGTTATCTGCGCCCCTTGGACAGGACCTCGCATGTGAGTGCCTTACTACTTGAATTCACCAAGTTCATTCAGGACTAGCAATATGGCTGATAAATTCAGCTGCCATTGGGGGAAAAGTAAGGTGAATCATTTAGGATCGCATCCTTTATTTAGGGATATCCCCATCACGCTTGTTCCATTTCAAGACAGAGGGTGTTGTTTATCTAAACTTTCAAATCAGCATCTAGTTGAGAGTTTGACCATTTCTCTTCTTATGGTTGGAAAAGCCTGGAAGATTTGGTCATGGCTAGGAGAAATGTGCTCTGTGGTAACTGGTGGATTTCTGCTGAAATTTGAAAAACTGAAGGTTAATGGGGAAGGACAGAAGAACCTCGGCAGAGGCTCTGAGCCCATAAGGCAAGGGTCCAGCCTCCTGGAACATCAGTCTGGCTTATTTTCAGCAGCGGGCCTGACTGGGGCTCAGAGGGTACTTGAGAAAGTGGGACAGAGTTTTACTGTTGATTGAAGTATTTTTGAGAAAATCAGCGTTTTGAGGCTAATCCGTGAGGATACTTTCCAAGTGTTTAAATATTTAAGACAGATCGTTTCGATGTTTAAAAGAATGCAGGTGTTATCACCGTCTGCCAGAGATAATGGGGTCTGGAGTGTTCACCCCGCTTTCTTTTAAGGGGTGTAGTAGACTTTCCCGACGAAGGCCGCACTCCACTTCCAGAGAAGTCAAGTCCAAATTCTGGAAAGAAAACAGCCTTGTGAAATATGCCATGTTCTTCAAGGACAGCTTCTCCTAATTACACTCCGTGAGGTCCTTCCAAGAGGGTGGAGATAATGAGGTTCAAGGGCCCCCGCCCACACGGCTCTCAGTAACAGGTTGCGTAAGACTTTTCCAACTGGGCATTTTACTTAACCTGAGAGGTCACTGGCGATGCAGGTGCTCACAGCATGACAAGATAGCGTCACCCAGTGCCCTGAAAGCTAACCCAAGCATCCAGTATACCTCATCATCCCATCACCGGCAAATCGTGCAATTCTGATATTTAATCTCCCCAATTTCCCATCACTCCAGAAGTGCTGACGAAAACAGGTGCCTCTGCTCTGGCCCTGCCCAGATGCCCCTTTGCCATTTCCAGTTAACATTTGTTCTCTTCTCTGTGGTCCGGCTGCTCTGGCGCTGCTCTGTGATATACCCAGGCCACCTGTTCTTATACTGAGTCCTCAGCATACCTTACAGACATGCCTCATTTTGTCTATATATTTTTTAAAATTACAGTTTTTACCGTTTAAAGTTCTATGCAAGATGCCTTCCACCCCAGAAATGGCCTTTCTTTTAGTGTGTGAGGGGCATTGCTCTGTCCCCTCTCTTTTGGGCTCTCTGGGGGCCAACAGGCTGTTTCCATTTCTTGCTCAGTCTCTATATATCCATTACATTTTGGTAACAGCTCTTTCAGATGTAAGTATCAGAAACTCAACTCAAACTGGCTTAGGCAACACATGAAATATTTTGAAAAATCCAGGAGCACATCACAGTTCAAGAAGAGCTGGATCCAGGTATTCAAACTCTGCTTTAAGGAATCTGCCTCCTCTCTCCCTCTCTCTCTTTTCTTTCTCTCTTTTTCGTACACACACACAAACACATGTTCACACAAACATTAAACACACAAGTGTATGAGATTACTAATATGTTTTAGGCAACAAGGCACATGGAGGAGAGAGCATTTGAGGCTGGCATGAACTCATGCTCTGCTCCCCAGTCTGTACATCCTGGAACCAGGCAGGGCTCATATAAAGGGTGGGAAATTATGTAACTTGCACAAAGGGACTGTCTCATTGCTGAGAGGCCTGCCTGTAGGCTGTGTATGCCTCAATGCAGATACATCAGGTGCCTTTTCCTGATGCACATAAGGTTGGCCAGCGCAAGGTGAGCAGCCCTGAACGTGGACACATCCACCTCTCTGCAGTCTGCTCTATGCGGCTCTAGAGACAACCAGTTCCAATCCCAGAGAATGATGCTCACCAGCCCATCCCACAACCATTCATCACCCACTGAAGCCAGGGCTGGGGTCAGCTGGACCCCAGCACTGGGAACTGAAAGTAGGGACGGTCTGGTTGCCAAGAGGCAAGTCTCAGTGATGCTACCCAAGAGCTTCTATTCAGCCGAGAATCATAGCTGCCTCTAATACACCAGCATCCCTGCCCCTGTGTCTGGTGTGGCATTTGGCCCGCTCGAGGTTTGAACTGAATGGGGACCTTACCTTGTGCAGAAGCATGGGCATTACAGAACACCTTGCGGGTGCAGGAGCTCAGGACTTCTGCTTATTTAGTCATCTCATGTCCTTTGTCTTGGGACCACATACAGCCTTCCATCATGGACTAAACAGTCATTCATCTCTGAAGGATGAATGAGGGATCTTATCCCTGACACACGTCTGTCTAGCTGCAGGTATGCAGACATGTTTGCCCTGTGATGAAGACTCAGGCAGCTGGGAACCTCCAGCTTGCATAGGTGGGGCCTTAGGGTGGAAGGGATGCTCTTAAAAGACTAATTTGAAACCCCGGATGAACAACGCAGTAGCTTGGGATTGTTCATCCTCTGTCAAGCTCAATATGGAACTACAAATGCAGCAACAATCTCCCAGGAGCTGAAATATTTTCCCCAAACACGTGTTCATTTCATATAACCAAATCCCTATAAAAGGCTTTGGATAGTCATTATTTTTCTGGAGTTTTTTATTAAACAATTGGAGTACTTGTAAAATGCTATCACTATTTAGGATGTGAATCCAAGAACTGTGGAGAAACAAAATTATCTTGTTTTGAAATAGAATTTGCTTTATTCACAATAATAATCCTAACTGCTTAAGCTGCGCGAGGCACCGCACTAAACTCTGGAAAATATCGTCTCATTTGATCCTTACATAAACCCATGGTTTTATTATTGTGGAAATATTACTAACTGAATTTGACTGATGAGGATGGTAAGTCTCCGTCAGATTAAACTGCTAGTGAAAAGCAGAAACATGGTGACAGCCCAGGTTCATCTGACACCAAAGACCAAGTACTTAGAACTATACCATCTGTCATGTTTTTGTGAGAATTTTCAAGTTCTGAGAACGATTTTCCCATTCAAAATGGATCTAAGTCTGCCAGTCTTTGAAGTAATACTGGCAGAAATCACGACTTAATGAAATGATACCAGGGCCCTAGGAAAGGAATCAAGCACGCAGGCTGAAGTGAAGGCTCTGGAATTAGACAGGCTGGGTTTCAGTCTTAGCTTGGTCACCTGTTGGTCCTTGGGGAAGTCACTTCTCCTCTCCTAGACTTGGTTCCTTCATGAGGATAATAGAAAGTACTTAACAAGTTCCAAGACTCACTTATGGTGTCATTGTGTAGAGGAAATGAGATAGAGCAGGTGAGAGGCTCAGCCTGGTACATGACAATGAGTTTCTTTTCTCTTTATGTTACTTTTGTGAGGTCTGTGCTGCTTGTCCTTAGCACTTTCCCCTTTCGGTTTTCTGAAAAATTAAAATGTAGGGCACATACCATCAAATATTTGAATAGTTGGAAAAGTTCACCCTGCAGACAAAGTTGATTCTGCTGTCCAAACTGAATTGAAATGTTTCCTTGATAGATGATGTAGGAAACTTCAGTGTGGCATACGAAAGCAATTTAGGGGTGTCGATGTATTTTGTAAAAGGTTTGAGTTATACTCTAGCAGAAGGTATAACAGTCAAGTGCTGTGTATGCAAACTATGAGGATTCCATAGATATTAGGAAGGATAATTTTCATTAACATCAAAGGTTTTAGCTTCTTTGAACATTCTCACCACACTTCCAGCCCAGACACTGGAAGGAGGGCTTTCAGCATCATTTTGAAGCGTAGGGGCTGTGGTGAGGTTCTGTGTCCATTCTACCAAATAGCTGTCCAATCCTCTGATGAATAGCATGGGGACCTTTGGGACCTGTTACTTTCTGCACAGCGCCCAGCAGTCACGGGGCTCTGTGGGCCAAAGGGCAGAGGGTTTTTTTTTCTCCTCGAAGTTGAATTAAATGGTCTCAAAGCTGAAAAACTGATTTCTTCTGGCCTGGTCCTAGCTCCAGAGAGTACACCCTGAAGGTGCTTGGAGCTGCCTGTAGGGGTGATTTTCCTCAGGCAATTATGGGGGGCTTGGTCTGCTCACCCCAGGAGGTTTGGGGCCAGGCTGGTGAGGAGATGTGTCCAGAGGTGACGCTGTACTTCTGCTTCCCAGAGGCGGAGATGTGGCAAAATCAAGGCAGCCAACGACTGGGCCAGGATCCAGGAGCAGCTTTTCGGGGAGCTGGGCTTGTGGCGTCAGATGGCAGAAGCCACACCCTGCTCCCGGTGGGAACTGGACTGGAGAGAAGGACCAGCTCGCATGAGGAAACGTATCAGACGCTTGTCTCCGCTGGAGGCCCTGAGTCGAGAAAGGCTCAAGGTAAGAATTAGATGCAACAAGACAGGATGCTTCCAGACAGGCAGTGTATAGAGAGGTGTCTCCTTAGCGTTTCCATCTGATGTTGTTTCCATCGGGAGTGCTTTGGCATGGACAGGTAGGAGAGGTAATGCGTGCAGTTCACTGCAGGAGTGCTGTAATGCATTCTTGGTGCTGTTTAACAGAAGGAAAGAATCACTGACTCCCCAGGTGCATAGAAGGGATGCTCTAACTACAGCCTGAATGAATGAAAAAAATAAGTGAGTGAGTGGTTCACATATACACCACTGACCCAGTACCACGCTGACATCCATAAAAGTCCGTTAGAATGGTCCGGATGCCAGCGTTTGAAAAGAGCCACGCGATGGGCACCGTCTCTTGTACAAGTTATGTGTCATAGAGCAGTCATGGCCAGCCCTTCTGTGGGCGTTACTGTGCAAGCAAATCCCGACTCAAGTCTTACAATGGAAATATCTTGAACTCAGCTATTTCTGCAAGCTTGAGCCAGTGACGCGCTTCGTCCAAATGACACTGAAGCTGCGTTGGATTCCCAGGCAACGGAATCTGGACAGTCCCCAGGCGTTTGCTGTAAGGAAGCTTGGACTCTCTGTCAGACTTACATTTTTGCTTTTTAAATGATGAAGAACCATCCTTGGCTTGGTAGTGGATACAGAAGAATCTGTTAATAGCATTTCATGTCCTCATTGAACAATTCTGCTTTAAGATATTCTGAAAAGCAGCCTTTCCACACCCTGGAACGCAAGACATTTCCTTCTGCGTTCATCCTGAGTTACAACGTTGGGCTTCTTCTGTAGTCTGTAACCTCAGAATCTTTTACCCACATTAAATCCTTTATAAAACCTAATGAAAAAAATATATTTCATTTATTCAGTAGACGTTTTAGTTTTGAGTGTATTGTCTGTAAACATCTGGTGATATATAGTATTTTTCCCTCAATACATTTCTTAGGAAATGGAGGCAGGAAAAATAAGCCTGCCCGTGGCGCTGATGTCAAGGCCGAAGGCTGGCTGTGGAACCTAGTCTCTGGTCTCTTGGGCTGTCCAGCCCCAGCCCCTGTCCCTGGTCCCCTCTCCAGGGTGGCCCATACCACAGACAGCCAGGATACTCTCTACTCCCGTTTGACATAATCTTTGGTAATTACTGTAAATCCTACTTAATGGAAGATTGTGGGTTTTTTCCCCTTTGACTCAGGAACATTAATACTTGCATTTTATTGTGGTCCTTTCGGATTTGGCATTTTGCTCCCCTTGCCTTTGAGTCTTGAGTGATTTGAAGGAGCCATATGCATGTGTGTATGTGTTTGTGAATCTGTGGAAAGGGGGGTGGGGCCCATAGGTATCCAGGATTTAATTTCTCTTTTCTCTGGTTTTATTTCAGGAAAGTCAGGACAGAAATGGTGATATTTCTCAGTTAAATGCTGAAAACCAAGGTATTCAATTTATCTGTATTTTTATTTAACAGTTAAAGCAATTCTTGGTTTTATTTAACATCTCCTTAAAGATATGAAGTTAATATATTGTGGGAAGAAAATGCTGCAAGTCTAGAGTAGGGAGTGCAAGGCCTTTCATCACTGTGCTCTCCAGAATGGAGAGGGACCCATTCCGGACCTGAACGCTCCACTGGGGGAAGGAGTTTGCATTTAGGTTGCAACAGTAAGAATTTTTTTCAGGGAAACTATCCTGTCAATTTGCTATATGAGGGAAACCTTAAAAGTGCCCCCCCCCACACAAATACTAATACATGTTCAGTATGTGACCCAAAACACCTAGGAGGAAAGTAGGAAAATATTTTAGAGCAAAATTGGATGGGATAGATATTTAATACTTAACACTGAATTCTCTGGTTGTGAAGATGACAGATATAATGGTCATTGTTATTTCTCCAATTTAAAAAAGCACTTTGAATCATTGTTGATGTTTATGCTTACCCTTTGTGTAATACGCATGGAGGAATTTGGTTGAGTTGATATGCTAAAAATCTAGTTTATTTTCAGAGGTCATTTTGGCCCGAACGCATCAAATACATACCAAACACACACACAGACACATACACTATATTTCAGATTTTGTGTTTCTACCAGACTCTGCCTTTTGTTTCAGACACTCTCTGTCTGTGAGTTTCACTGTATCCTAGGCTGCAGCTTATATCATACCCTTAACCAAGTGACACCTTCCTAGAGCTGATCAGACTTGTCTCATTTAGTGCCTTAGCACCGGATTTTGCGTGGAGCTTGCTGTCTCGTCAGTCTGCAGTAACAAAGCCCAGAAGTGAGGATCTTGAGCTCTGACCCCAGGTTGATTTGGGGAGTCCCACTTGGGACTTGGGATGACAGTGTAACACTCATATTTTGGCTTCTCTTCTTTCTATCCCAAGCCCCATAACCCTAAGATCAGAAGGAGAATCTGCCTGCTCTCCCTCTCAAAATGGGTGGCTGCAGAGCGTACAGTGGTAGAAAGCAGGTGTTTGATTTTATGTGGCCTAGGGCCATGGGCTGCTAAGTCCCCTCGTCCCCTATATGCAGGGCCTCTGGTCACCTATGATCCCAGGCGTCCTCCATGTTTCCAGCATGGACCCCCAACTCCCAGTAGGGAGCTCAGTCAAAGAAGAAAGGGCTGTGATCCTTCACCATGCCTTCCTGGGTGCCGGTATCTACACAGTGTTTTCTCTGCCTGAGGAAAAGCCTCTGATGGGTGTTGCTGTGAGCAGCAGGCACTTACATTCATCCAAGTGTGAGGTTCCCAGGTGGGGAGGAGGTCAAAGAGATGAGCGTCTTGCCACAAAGAAGATGTCCAGTAGCACCCTGACCTTGCAGCCGTGTGCTGCTCCACGCAGGTGGACACCCAGGACAGGGTGGAGGAGAAAACTCTAGAGATCCACACAGGTGTGTACTTAGCTGGCACCCAAAGGCACATGCACAGGAGTGCATCCTTTGGAAATAAGTCTAGATGGACACACAAATGATTGCAGCACAGTGGATTTTGGTAGTGTAGAAATAGAAACTAGTTGTATCTCTAAAAAATAGGAGGTGAGTTGGGTGATTATGGAAGAGTCACACAGTAGATTATTACAGCCACTTAAGTTGCTTTCTAAGAACTTTTAATGGAATGGGAAAGTGCTCATGGTGTAATCTTGAGCCAAAAAGTTAGAAAAGAAAAACTATAAATTCAGTATAATTCTTACCATGTCAGAAATTACGTTATGTGTGTACATATACATGTATGTACAAAAAAGATGTCAGAATTAAACCACATTGTGGCCAGGGAGGACAGACAGACTAGAGATGAAAAGATCAGCCTCTGGACTCAGAGGGACTTGGTTCAGATTCGGCCTCTAGTTCTTAGTAGCCGTATGACCTTGAGCAAAATAATTAGCCTTTGTCAATTTCTTCATTTGCAAAGTGAGGATGGAATGGACTCTACAATCTAGGTAGGACTGGATGAAAAATGTCATTAAAATATCCAGCACAGAGAAGGTGCTCACTAAACAGGAGCTGTTGGTATTAGCACTCTCTCTGGGCACACGGGTGATACTTGTTTTATTTCTCATTTTTAATTTCTCACAATTTCATGGGTTTTCCAAGTTTTTTACATTAAGAAGATAGTATTTCCATAATTAGGGGAAAAAACCCCACTCTTGAAAGAGTGAACAGGGGACCTCCCTGGCGGTCCAGAGGTTAAGACTCTGCACTTCCACTGCAGGGGGCGTGGGTTTGATCCCTGCTCAGGGAACTAAGATCCTGGCATGCCACCTGGTGTGGCCAAAAAAAAAAGAAAACAAAAAGTGAAGTTCAGAAAAAGCAAATCTTGTGGGACCCTCTGGGACCCTCTAGGAAATTGCTTTACTGATTAATGAAGGTGTTGAAACATCCCCCCGTGGTCACTGGAGAGCTGCAGAGCAGCCAGGCCCGGGTACATCTTCCTGAGTGAATCAACCTGCAGGTGTGTTCACCACATGATAGGGTCAGAGGGGTGTGTCCACTTTCAGAAACAGTGAGGGGTACGCTGGGATCCATGTCATTCACGGCTGCCCTGAAACCTTGCAGTTCCTCCCAGGGACTCAGGCCCAGGCTGTGCACTGTCCCTCGTGACTCCAGGTGGCTCCTGCACAAACCATACGTCCCTTTTTGCTGCTGCAGATGGAGTGACACCACAGGAAGCTGAGAGCGAGAGAGATGAGGCAGTAGACTGCACCCAGCTGACCTTCTTCCCCGCCTTACACGAAAGCCTGCACTCTGAAGATTTCTTGGAACTGTGTCGGGAGAGACAAGTCATTTTACAAGAGCTTCTTGATCATGAAAAGGTAACGCAGCCCATCATGATTATTCTTTAAAGATTATCAGACATGAGAGAACTAAGCTTTCTGCACTCACATGGGAGGTGATATCTCCATTCACCATAAAAAAATCAATGAGCAAAAGCGACGGCATGCTCCTAAATTTATGGGCCCAGAGCAAGGGTGCAAATGCCCACACATCTTGCATCAAAATGTTTAGAAAATATAAATCAAGCTAATAAACTGTTAAGTGAAATATGTTCTAATGTCCTATATTGACCAGTTTCAAATTTAGAATTCTTGACCTTCTTGTAGTTCAGCACCTTGGCCCCCCGCTCACAGCCTGACCACTTGAGGGATCCATCCCGTGCCTGAGTGAGGGGCCCTGGTGGATGTGTTTGGACACCTGACCCATATGTCCCAGCTGTCCCCACACTCCTCACCTTGAAACCAGCTCCCCTTGGCCACCACTCAGGCCTAGAGGAAGCACACTTGAGGCACCTTCAGCCCTCAGAAGGGTGGACCTGGAGAGACAGTAGGCACAGCCAGGAGGCAGGCTGGACCAGTTAGCAGGGAAATCCATTGTTGCGGATGCCTGGAGCTGGATTGTGGGAGCCCAGGCTCTTGGTGTGCATGCATGTCCCCTGGGTATGACTGGAAGAGGGTCAGGGGGTCCCCCTGAAGTACAGGAACAGGGAAGGGCCCTCTTACACAAGTCTAAGAAAGTATGGAAGATGAAGCACGTGTCTTAAAGTAAAACGGACCTGAGCTAAAAACCCCAACTTGGCCACAGTTAAATGGCCTGCTACCTAACCTTCGTGAGCCTCAGTTATTCTCATCTTTAATATGGAGTGCACGGCAACCATTTCACAAAATTCTCATAAGGCTTAAAGGGGATAATGGAAGCAAAGTGACTAGCATAGCACCCAGCACACATGAGGTGGCTCATTAAAGACTAATTCTCTTCCCTTTCCAAAGGTTGAGTGGTTTAAGGGCTGGGTAGACTTCCATCTGCCTCTTCCATCAACTCTTCTGTATGGGATGTAAGTGAAGAAGATGCTGCAGCAAAACAGAGGAGCAGGCAGGGCGGGGCTGGCCAGACATGCAGGGGCTACCCAGAGATGAATGCATGAGAGCTGAGGGCTAGTCTGGCTGCAGGGTGGAGGAGAGTGGAGCTGAACTACGGGCCACTGAGTAAGCAGCCTGGGTATCCAGGAGCAAGTGACAAGCTCAGAGAGCTTGTGATGGGTGTGAGCAACGTGCAGAAACCGAAGCATGTCCTTTCCAGGGGCAGATTCCTTGCAGAGACTCCTGGAGGGTGTCAAACTGGGATTTACTCCTTCCAGGGGTTGGGTGAAAGGGCTGACTTTGAAGTGCGTTGGCCAAATGGATGACTGCAGAACTTCTGCCGAGTGTTTAGCTGCTTTCAGATTTGGGTAGCAGTTAATCAAAACAATCCTGGGGGCTTCCCTTGTGGCGCAGTGGTTGAGGGTCCGACTGCCGATGCAGGGGACATGGGTTCGTGCCCCGGTCTGGGAAGATCCCACATGCCGTGGAGCGGCTGGGCCTGTGAGCTATGGCCGCTGAGCCTGCACGTCCGGAGCCCGTGCTCCGCAACGGGAGAGGCCACAACAGTGAGAGGCCCGTGTACCGCAAAAAAAAAAAAAAAACAGTCCTGGAACAACAAGGTCTTTGTACATGCTGAACCCACAGCTTTCAGCCAGAGAGTACATTTGCAAGTCCCCATCACACTTCACCACCATGCCTTCACACCTCACCACCATGCCTTTGCTCATGCTGGTTTGTCTGTCTGTGGTGCTCTGCACGCTAGACTCCTAGCAGCTGACTCTCCAAAGCCCATCATGACTGGTCCCCAATCTGAAACCTGGAGAGCTGGTCTCTCCCTCATCCCTGTCTCTACTGCCCACTGCATCTCCACCTGCCCTTGCTCCTGACATTCAGGCTAACCTTCACCACTTCACCTTCTGCCTCTCTCACTCTACTGATGCTCCTTCATGGAGGGACCCCCAGGCGCCTAACCTCGGGCATGCCTGGAGCAGCCTTTCAGTAAACACCGATGAATGAAGATTTATTATATTCATGTTCATTTTATTTTGATTATGGAAGTAGTGTAATCTAATGTGTGAAAGTTTAAAAAATGGATATAAAACATAACATATGTAACATATACATATATATTTATATATGTGTGTATACATAGCCACAGTACCCAGCTGCTGAGTACTAACAGCTGATAACAGTTTGAACATATCATATATGTTCACATAGGTAAATGGATATTTAGTAAATGCCTAGTCAATTGAAAACAGCTAAGAGATCAATGCTTTCTTACTCTTAAAACGTTTCTTTGCCTTATGCCCTTAAAGGATCATGTAAAGCAGTGATTCTCAGCAGGGGGCAGCTTTACCCTGCCCCGCCCCTGGGGACATTTGCCAATGTCTGGAGACATTTTTAGTTGTCATGACTTGGTGGGGAGGGGTTGCTACTGGCATCTAGTGGGCAGAGGCCAGGGATGCTACTTCACATCCTACAATGCTCAGAAGAGCAGAAAATAATTGTTCAGTCCCAAACGCCTATAGTGTCAAGGTGTCATATTAAACAGATTAAAACCAAACCCCAGCCATCCCTTCCTACTTTCCTGATAGGGTAAAGAAATACCGGGTTAGATATTGTCTCCATATTGGCTCTTTTCATCATTTTGATAAGAAGAGAGCAATGGCAATGCTTTGGTTTTATTTGGTGTATTAATTTTATATCGCTGCCATAACAAATTACCAAAACCTTGGTGACTTAAAGCAGCACACATTTATTATCTCAAAAGTCTGAGCGCAACATGGCTCAGCTGGTTCTCTGCTTAGGGTCTCACAGGGCTGAAGCCGAGGTGTTGGCAGGGCTGCGTTTGTTTCTGGAGGCCCTGGGGATGCAGCCATTTCCAAGCTCGTTCAGGTGTTGGCAGAATTCACCTCCATGCTTCCGTAGGACTGAGTTCCCGGGTCTTGGCTGGCTGTCAGCCAGGGGTCGTTCTCTGCTTCTAGAGGCCACCCACATCCCTTGCCTGTGGCTCTCTTCCTGCATCTTCAAGCCCAGCTGCAGCAGCCTCCTCACACTACAGAGCTCTCTGAGCTGCTTCTGCCTCATCGTCCCTCCCCGCCATCTCCCCTCTGCCTCCCTCTTCCATTGAATCTCTCCCACCAGTTCTTCTAGCGCCGCCTTCTGCTGCTAAGGTCTCATGGAAATTGGACCCACCAAATAATCCAGGATAATCTCCCTATTTTAAGGTCCACTGATTTGCAACCTTAGTTTCATCTGGAATGAAAAATAATTTCAAGCCCTTCAAGCAGCACCTAGGTTAGAATATGATGGGATAACCAGGGATGAGGCTCTTGGGGGACATCTTTGTCCCCAAATACTGCCTGCCATATCTGGTATCACTGAGGGTCCACATGTCACCTAATCCATGTCCCGCCTTCCAAGAAGGGCTTCTGCAGATGGCCTGACTCCCATGTGCTTTTGCCAAGACCAGCCAGGTGGCTCCAGTCCTCCCTGGGCTGGGCTGAGGGCGAGGTCTGGAGTTTACAGTCACAGCCAGAGCTAGTCCCAGCATGGCCTGTGCAGCAGGTTCTTGCCTTTGGTACTTGTCCTGGTCTCTGAGAGTCTTATTTTTGCTAACTGTCCCACCCAGCAACACTTCACTCCGGGGTCTTGTTGGGGAGCTCTCGGTGGCTTGTATCTGCTATTATCACTGTGATTGTGGCTCTTTTAATGGTACCTTAGCATTTGTTCTTTCCAAGAAGGAGGGAGGAGTGGGGTATGAACCCTGGTACCTAAGCCATGGCCCTGAGGAAGTGGGAAAGGGCCTGTCAGTGAAAATGAGGAAACACTCCTGTTTAAACCCAGCTCCAGCCGGCTTCCAGGGCTTCCAGGATGCACCTGGGAGCCTGTGAAGCCAGGAACTGTGGAGGTTGGGCAAGTGTTGAGCTTGGACAAAATGGGAGAATCCAGGTCTGAGTGGGTCTGTTTCCTGCTGAGATGGTGGAGGATGTGACAGAGGGTCAGAGTAGAGCCCACGAGAAAACTGACCAGCTGGGATGGGGCTCATCTAGGGTTCTAGGTCCACTACAAAATACAGCATTTTGTGGGAAAGAGGGAAGTTGCTGGGTTTGGGGCCTTGATTGATGTGTGGTGAGTCCCCTGAATTTAAAGCCTGAGGCAGAGAGGAGCATAGGGAAGCAGGCCTGGGAACTCAGGGACATCCACGGGCTGGAAGAGTGGGCTGAGTCGGGTCTGGGCTGCAGAGCTCATTGTGGAGCGGGCCCTGTGACCTGGCCCCCTCCACTGCCCACACCTCTACTAGCCAGATCATTGCAGCCTCATGCCCACCCACTCACCACTCCCCTGCAACCAGAGGCCCCCTCCTGGGTGAGCCTGTGCTGATGTGTCCGTCCCCAGAGCACTCATAGCAACGGGCCGCCCACAGCACTCTGCTCACTCTGCTGCCAGCATCTTCCTTGTCACACGGCTCTGTAATTATTCTTGAGTCCTCCTGTGATGCCTTTAAAGGCAGGGACAGGCTGGAATTTATTCTTGTCTCTCCCTTCCCTGACTTGTAGTATTTGTGCTCTGGAAAGACCTGCTGAGCTGTATCAACGGACCGTCCATGGGGAGCCCCCCACTCTGGTGTGCCTTGTGGCAGTGTAGGGGCTCCAGGCGTGGGCAGCCTGCCCACCACAGTGACATGGGTCTGCTCTCGAGAACCTCGGGAACTGGCCTGAGGTGTGGCATGCCCTGGGCATACCTCGTTCATTGGGGGAGCCCCTCTGGGAGCAGGTAAGGCGTGGCGGAGCAGGCCTGGCTGCCTTGCAAATCCACCACCACCAAGGAAGAAGATGCCAACAGTTCATGCCCAGGAGGGCCGCTTGGCACAGGGCAAGTGCTCAGCCTGGATGGAGAGCCTCATTCTGCTCTTTGTTTATCACTATTATTGGCAGAAGTGTCAATAGCTGGAC